TATATATATAATTTTACTTTTTTGGATATCACTTTAGTACAATGATATTGTTTTAAATTCGGACGGGGCATATATTATGAGCTTCTTCAGTTGAAGTCTTTAGAGGCAAAGAATTAATGTTTAACAGAACTAATCTGCTTTGAACCTGGAGAAGAATACAGAACGTGACGTACAGAAAAGTGGGAAGGCATGGAATAACATCAAGTGGCTAGCCCAGGATATAGAAAGGTGGAAAGCGTTTGTCCGTGGCCTTTACCCTGATGCAGGGTGAGAAAGGCCCTGATGATGAATCCACTTCGAAAGTAGAATTTTTACCGGTAGTATTATTACAGATTCTTTAAAAACGACAAAAATTATAGCTTGCACCTTTTGTGGTTTCTTTTCATTTTTAAATTATGGTTTTTAATTTGGTTTGGTTTTTTAAAATTCTAAATGCAGGATGTTTCACGCCGCTATGGACACATTCTTGATCATTTAAGAGAGCCGCTTCGATCCTGCCTGTTAGAGTCAAGCCAGGCTAAAAGAGAGACAACACCCAACAAAAAGATCGAGATACTCGATTAAATCGTTCCCCACACGAGAATCGAAATCGGTTCTTCTGCATGTGGGGCGAAGCACTTACTGACCATTACACCACAGACGCCGGTTTTGAAAATGGATGGATGGATGGATGGATGGATGGATGGATGGATGGATGGATGGATGGATGGATGGATGGATGGACGGATCGATCGATGGATGGACGGATGGAGGGATGGGTGGATGGATGGAGGGATTGGTGGATGGGTGGATGGATGGATGGATGGATGGATGGATGGATGGATGGATCGATCGATCGATGGATGGGGGGATGGGTGGATGGATGGAGGGATTGGTGGATGTGTGGATGGATGGATGGATGGATAGAGGGAGGGATGGGTGGAGAGGTGGGTAGATGAATGGGTAGATGGATGGATGGATGGAGGGAGGGATGGATGGGTAGATGGAGGGATGGATGAGTAGATGGATGGGTGGATGGGTGGGTAGATGGGTAGATGGATGGGTAGATAGATATATAGATAGATGCTCTTGTTTATGCTTATGTTGATTTATTTTCCAACCATTACATTCTCCGTGTTCCTAGATATTGTGTACGTAATCTATGACAGCGACCAGCACTATCTCTGTATGAAATGTCATCCTCTGTATTCTTAGTTTTTAGTTTTAGTAGAGGTTTTACGGCGCTCGCAACTGCATAAGGTCATATGAGCGCCAGAAGATTAGAGGGGTTACAAGAGAGTAACAAACATAAAAAGAAGAAGGGGAGATAAGAATTATAGATGTTCGATGGGAAAGAAGGAGCAAACCACACCAGAGCACACGCCAACCACCCATCCTCTGTATTCTTAGATATTGTATACATACTATGTTTGTGAATTTCAGTATATCGTTAATGTGTTAAGATAATAAATGCCTAAGACATTTTTAGCCGTTTTGAAAAAAAAAACAGGAAAAAAATTGTTTCTTTCAAACAAGTAACTGCGGGAAACGCCTGAATTTGGTGCTCTCAATTGATTTTATATTGGGCTTATTCTTTTGTTAAAGTGAACGATATTACCAAGCTGTCCCTGCTCTTCATTTCAGAACAAAGTGAACCCCTCCAAACCGGCCAAAAACGACTTAGATATTCATCTTATGAGCGTGAAGACATAAATTCATAATTACACTTTTAGCTTTAGTAGAGGGTTTACGGGGCTCGAAACTGCATAAGGTCATATGAGCGTCCGAAGATTAGAGGTGTTGCAAGAGAGTAATAAACATAAAAAAGAAAAAGGGGAGATCAGGACGATAGATGTTTGATAGGAAAGAAGGAGCAAACCACACCAGAGCACCCGTCAACCACTCACAAATAACACTTTTCCACCCTGGGCTCACCTGTCAAACACCCCAACAGAGGGGAAACGTTGAACGAGTTCTCTGACGTAATCGTCACTTCCTGCTCGTCTGTGAGTCCAGTTCTCCGATACAAAGGCCGCGTCAGAACTGGTCAGTCTTCTCACTGTCACATCTTCTGGGGTTGGCCTTGTGCCAGGATGAAGAATGTACGTCACAGCTAGATCTATAGAGCCCAAAGCATCCTCCCTTCCTTTTTTTTCTCCCCCATGCACGCATGTACACACATACACATACCCACCCCACCTCACCTCTTTCCAGAAAAAAAACAACAAACGAAACAATAAAAAAAAGCAGAACAAATTCACAGCAAAAAAAAACTAAAGCAAAAAAAAAAAAAGAAAAAGAAAAAGAAATATACAAACAATAGAAGAAAAACAGCAACAACAACAAAATAATACAATACAATACAATACAAAACATAACGTAACAAAACATAACGACAACGACACGACTGTCTTTTTCTTTTTCTTTTTCAGGTCAAGTGGCAGATCAAAAACCGACACTACGGTTCGCTCCTCATTTCTATTATTATTGTTGTTGTTGTTGATGATGTTGTTGTTATTGTTGTTGTTATTGTTGTTGTTGTTGTTGTTGTTGTTGTTGTTGTTGTTGTTGTTTTATCATTGTTATTACTGTTGGGTTTTTTTTCTTAGTTTTCATTATAATAATTATTATTATCTTTTGGTCTGTTCCCAACATCCTTCCTGGTCTCCCTCTGTCGCTTTCGCCTTCCATTTTTCCAGTGAGAGCTAAATGTTCAAGACCCTTCGGATTATTTGTAGAGGTATAACAATGTAGCAGTCAGTCCTGCCTATATGGTATCCATAAATGTTACCAACATCATTTATTGTTGGCAATTTCCGTCAAACACCTTGTCAAACGCTGACTATAAGTTGACCAGACGTTCTCTCGACTCCAGTCTCGCGTGAACTTGGACTCTCAAACAGGACAATGAACGTCCAGCAATGTCCGTGATTTTTCTTATTTCTTGGCAGTCACTTACACTAAGCGGAGGCAGGCTTTTGCATCTGCAAACTTTGATATCCTCGCCCTTATAAAAATCTCCCCACCTCTCACAAAAATCTAATTACAAATGAAACAACATTAAAAAACAAAACAAAACAAACCAACAAGCAAGTAAACAGACAGCCGAAACTCAACGATACAAACATAAACAACGAAAAACAAACTTTCCTGACCTGAGTTCTACGTCACCAGGCTGAGCAATCATGCAGGTACACACGTGCCTAATAGGCATGACGTCACGGCTTCCGTGCTCCCGACTCAGTGAAACAATCGTCTCGCCCAGTTCTGTCGGTGTCGCTGGGAAGGAGAAGCACAAAGAAAAGAAGTTCTCTTGTTTTGGGGACAGGTGCAGCATGGGACAGGATGTGAACAAGGAAAACGACACCCCCTTCGCTAAACACAGACCTCAACAATAACCCCAATGCCAAGAGTGTTCATGTTTAAAGTAAATTCTATCCCTAATGTATAACTAATCGTTACATTAAGGCCTGATTTGTTGTTGTGGTAAGGGCTACAGTCGTTGTTGTTGTTGTTGGTGGTGGTGGTGGTAGTGATGTTGTGGTGGTTGTTGTTGTTGTTGTTCTTGTTGTTGTTGTTCTTGTTGCTCTTGGTGTGGAAGTGACAGTAGCAGTCTCTATTGTTGCCGTCGTCGTCAGCTTGTTAATCAGCTGCTTGCACTGAATCTGTATGCGTCCGGTAAACTGAGAATGTTTTCTGAGTGTACTGTTGTCTGCTGGGATAATAATATAGTGTAAAGCGCATAGAGCTTGCTGTTGATTGGGGGTATGCACCTTACAATACAAGTGCTATTTATTATTATTTGTAACAACTCTAATCTTCTAGTTTAGTTTAGTAAGAGTTTTACGGCGCTTGCACGTGTGTAAGACCATTTGAGCGCGCCCTCTAACGTTCGACACTTGTATGACCTTACTGTGCGGGAAGTGTGTAAAACTCTTATTGAAACTAATACTGGGGTATTTTAATGTGTAGTGAAGATTTGTGCGACTACCCTGAAACATACACGTGTGTTGTGCTGATATTATGTCACTCACCTTGAAACATAATATACGTGTAGTGTGTTTTGAAGATTTGTGTAATTGACCCTGAAACATACCTAACGTTTGTTCTGAAGGTGTGTGTTACTTATTGAGAAAGATATTGTATGTGCAATGTGTTGTAAAAAGCGTGTTACTCATCCCGAAACATATTATATGCAGTGTGTTATGAAGATATGTGTCACTCATCCTGAAATATACATTATTCGTTTTCTAAAAGTGTGTGTTACTCATCCTGAAATAGACATAATGTGTGCTACTCCCCTGAAACGCACACAATGTGTTTTGTGAAGATGTGGTGTGTCACTCACCCTGAAACGTATGCGTGTGTTGCGAAGATGCGTCAAACTCACCCTGAAATACATAATTGTATGTGCAGTGTGTTGTGAAAAAGTGTGTCGCTCATCCTGAAACACAAATGTGTAGTGTGTTATTGTGAAGACGTGTAAAAACATAATAAATGTGTTGTGAAGATGTGTGTATACACATACGTGTAGTGTGTTGTGAAGATGTGTGTAAACATAATAATATATTATGCAGTGTGTTATGGAGACGTGTGTGACTCACCCTGAAACATCCTCCGGGGCGGTGCCACTGACTGAAATGTCTGTAGGCCATTCCCAAAGGGGGTGGGGGACATTTCTCGTTCTAATGCACTGTAGAATTGTAAATGGGCTGATCTAACAGTGTCATGCTCATAACTATGTCTGAACTACAACAGGGAACTGCTGCTTTTTCTTTGCTAATTCTTACTATCGTCATTTTCCTCTATTTCTTTTGTATGTTTGTCACACTCTTGTGACCCGCTAATTCCGGGGTGCCTTGTTAGTCGAAGCAGGCTTTGTGCTGTTGAAGCTAGAGAGGTGAGCAGAGTAAGTCTGATTCCCTGTAAGGACTTCTCTGTTGACATCCACCCGTTGGCGCTCATATGACATAATGCAGTTGCGAGCGCCGTAAAACCTCTACTCAAACTAAACTCACCCTGAAACATGCAGTTCTGTGTCCAGTCTATAAAGCCTGGATGTGTGAGTAAAGCACGCGAGTCCTGGAGGACAGGGGAGAAAACACAGGTGGTGCGGGGCTTGGTGTGATAGTTGTATACCTGAGGAGATGAGACAATGTGTTAGTCAATGTGTGTGTGTGTGTGTGTGTGTGTGTGTGTGTGTGTGTGTGTGTGTGTGTGTGTGTGTGTCCCAAGGACACA